CAAGCGATATCGGTTAGCAAGTTGAGGGCGTTTCTATCATCAACCAATCGTACACATTTACAATTTCCAGTTTCTTATTGGCCAGAGATTTGATCATCATATTGTTGGTATCAGGATCGGGATTTTCTCGCATGGACGCACAGCAGCTAACAGTTAGCAGGATCCGGATCCTGCTAACCGTTAGCTGCCGTGTGAGAACATAGCCTTGTTTATAGCTCATTGATTAATTAATATATATTTTTTGTATGGGTTAGGGCTAAGTAGTTTTTATTATTATTATTATTCTCTCTTTCTTTGAAATAATTTGATGTTCATATCAACTCATTTTTGCGGGGTTTAGCAATACCCGGATTAAATTTCTGGAAAATTGTGATTCCGCTTCCGTGAAATTGGCCACAAATAAATTATTTTAGTATTAATAATGCATGATTTATGTTGACTTACTGATTAAATTGTTGCTATTTTTTAACATTTAAATGGAAAAAAGTGTTATTCATGGCTTATTTTTTTATCTTTGAATATGTAATTCCTGCAAAAATTAAAATATAAATAGCTATTTATTTGATGTTAGATTCTTTTTAAAAATTAAATTATTTCAGTTTAAAAAAATGAATATAATGATTTTAAAAAAATCAGTTTTAATACATAATTTTATTAATGGGGGCCATTTTTACCTACCTGTCATTTGGGGACATTTCTACTGGGGCCATTTTTACCAGGGCTATTTTTACCGGAGCCATTTTTACCTGGGCCATTTTTACCGTACACCCAATATTATATATCAACATAAGAACAAAATAATATATCAGTATATCAAATAATTTATACTGCATAATAAATATATGATTATATACCATAATATGCCTTTATCACGTATATATGCCTATATAAAAATGTATTATATAATTATGTACCGGTATATGTATATGTATATATTTAATCATAATGCATAATAGACACACATCTGTTCTTGATAAACGAACAAAATATACAAAAGAACGAACGAACGTATGTACGTATGTAAACTTGAACTAATAACTATATATTATATATATACATATACACACATATACATATACATATACATATACACATACAAAGAAAACAGGAAACGGAGTAGACTTTTAGAACACAATTTATTTGTTTAATTTATTCATAAACTGAATATTTCTACCTGTCCTCAGGTCCTCTTTAGCATGACTACACTGTAGGCCTACAAGTTGGCATCTATTAGTGATTGGTTAAAGTTAATCATAGTGATTTAATTCTAATAACAATGGGTATTATCAGGCCTATAAACAAGTCCATATAAACAAAAGGGTGATAATAATAGGGAATAAACAGCAGGTGGCTGTAAAGGCCAACTCAGACAGCGTCGGCCGACGCAGTCTGACCTGATTTATCGTCGGGGACAGACCGACTGACCATACTGACCATAATAAAAATGGCAAAGTTTAAATAGTATTATGGTTCCCTGATGATGAATAGATCACGATAACATAGGCGTAATGGACACAGGGTAAGCAAATAATAATAATGATAATAATAATAATAATAATAATAATAATAATAATAATAATAATAATAATAATAATAATAATAATAATAATAATAGGGATGATATATACTTAAATAATTCAGAAAAAAACAGATATCAGTACGTAATCAAAATAAACAGAGCATAAATAATCTGTATAACAGTGGTGGTATATAAAGTATAAGCATTAATGCTATATATATATGAAAATATAAACTATAAATAATGAAAATAATGAACAATATTGGATTATACATGAGGTTAAAATATTGAGAAGGTATATGACATTAGAGGAATCACAAGACAGGACAGGAGGATGAATGGTATGAGAGGAATGGGTTAGTTTAATACGAGTGTCATAATGATGAGTAATCATACATCGTGGTTTGTTGCATTTTAGTGTTGCCTTTTCCGGGTGGTGATAAGCGTGAGGTAGTGAGAATGCTTTTGAGGTTAGGGAGTTGACGGTTGGCGAGTAACGGGGGCTGGTTAAATAGATGTCGGGTGGTTTCATCGTGTTGAAGGGGTGCCAATTCATCTCTAATGGTTTTAGATAAGGAAGTGATGGAAGGATGAAACTAGAACGAGCGGAATGCGATTGCATGGGGGACAGATGGTGAGGGATACGAGGTATTGCCGTGTACGTTGTGCTGCTTTGGTTAGTTTGGTGTTAGTGTGAAACTCCCTAGGCTTCTGTACGATAAACTTAATTCCCTCTCCATCTGAACAGGATAAACTGTTCAGTCCAGTCAGGACACATAGGATTATCCCCTCCTGATAGACCGATTATATCAGCATATAGGCACTCTCTTACAGAGCATTTTGTCAGGTTACATTGACTCACTTTTACAAAATCTCATACCTTCAATCCTCAGCTATGTGAAGGACACCACCCACTTCCATACTCGAAGATATCTCCATTCTCCCTAACAATTCAGAATGAGTCAATTTGGACGTATCCTCTCTCTATAGTATCATCCCCCTCTTCAAGCGACATTTTTACCTCAGCACTCGTTTTATTAAGGATATAATCACTATTACTAATTTTATCCTCACCCAAATAATTTCACTTTCATAATAACAACAAACATTACCTCCAAATTAAGGGCACTACGATGGGGACAAAAATTGCACCCAATTATGCCAATATTTTCATGTCCATTCTTGAATCCAAACTCATTTCATCATTCCATCTTAAACCTCTGTTCTACCAGCGTTACATTGACGAAATCTTCATAATATGGCAACACGGGGACGAAATGGATATGACATTCGCTATATAAAACTACACTATTATTATTATTATTAAAACCTTCAGAA